ACAATAAAAATTAAAAAAAAAAAAAAAAGACTGTGACCTTTTGGCAGTCGATTGCCAGGCCGTTCTTCCAAGGCACCTCTGTATCTGCACCACTCAGGGACTCCTGGGTAAAAATGAGTAGCTAATCTTCACTGGGGCTTTTAATTCAGGCTTCCTGAATTTAAACTCTGCCTCTGCAGATTATTTGTTATGTAACCTTTGGCACATTACTTAGCCTTTCTCAGCCAATTTCTCTGTTGATAATAGAGGAGAAATAAATATCTAATTTTAAGATTGTTATATCAAAGAGAGTAGATGTCAAGTGAATGATGGAAAAACAAGTAAGGCGTGTGGATCATAATCAGGTGGTGAAAAACAGACATGGGTGGTACAAAGAGTTAATGCATTTGGCTGTTAACTGAAGGTTTAATGGTTCAAATCTACCAAGAAGTGCCTTATAAGAATGGTCTGGTGATCTACTCCCAAAAAAGCCACTGAAAATCTCATGAAGCACATTTTTACTCTGACACATATGGGGTCACCATGAATCAGAGTCACCTTGATGGGACCAGGTTAACAACTAATAGCATCATTGTTACTGATAACGTCTGATTCTGAGGTCTAGGCTTCTAGGTCCAGTGAGAAAGCTGTGGAACGTGGGACAGTGTTTTGGATATGGTACAGTGAGAGTTCTCTCTTCTAGCAACTGTTCAAGCTAATGAAGAACCTCAGAAAACAACAGAATATATAACCTTTAAAATCTTTGGCTGTTTTTATGAGACTTAATCATCAACTTTCAGAAAAAAAAAACCCTTAGAGTATATGATCTAATCTCAAGATAGTATAGTTACAGACTATAGGTATCCAATATGTATTTGTTGAATGACTAAAGGAAAAATAAATAAATAACATTGTTTTGATAATCGGTACTTTTAAGGGTTGTTTTGGTCATAGCTTTGTGGTCACAAGAAACTTGCTTCATAAATCCCAACGAGAAAAGAGAAATGTTTTAAAAAATATTGAATTAGTTAATTGTTGACATGTCTGTTTTCCCCCACCAGATTGTGATCCACATCCTTTAGTCATCTTTCCATCATTCACTCAACAACTATTTAGAGTTTGTATGAGTGCCAGGCATAGCACATGGTACTGAATTAATTAGTTAAGTGAGTATATAGCCCTGGGTAGAGATGTTTTTAAGTGTCTGTTGTGATTTTGTGTACTTCACGTCTCAGCAGAAGGAAAAAAAAGATGATTTCCTTATAGAGTTAGATATCATTCTCTATGTGGGAACACCAAGATATTCCTTGTTGCCACAAGGCTTAATATTATTTGGAGAAGAAAACATTTTGAGAAGAGAGGAGAAATGCAGACCATTCTCAACAATTTACAAAGAATCACTGAAATGAATTAAAAGTGACATAAGCCAAAAACTAAAATAAGCATGTTTACTAAATAAGAAAAACAAAACAAAACCCTGTAACTTTAGCTAGCATTGTTTCAAACAGGCAGATTTTCCCAATTTGAATAATCTGTGCAGATCAGTAACAGATTATAATGTGTACTGACCATCCTTTCTAGCAATCAGCTATAGACAACTCTTAAGTCGTCTTCAACTAAACTTTTTCCGGACACGTTACAAGTAAGTTTTACCTTGCTTATATGCAAAGCAAGCACTAAACTAATGATTATTTTAAAAAAAACTTCCATCATCAGCATGTCAAAGAGAATGAATAAAACTGAATCTCAACACATATGTGTTTTAAAATGTATCTAGTGTGGGTAGAGCAACTCTATGAATTTTGATCCAGGGGCTCATTTCATTATTTTAAAACTTACAAATATTTATA